AGAGATAGCGTAATGAGAGGCGCGGAAACTGAAAAGGGATTTTTACATCGATAACAAGTAGAAAATTGTAGAAATAAAAAATCGAAAATGAGCAAGATGTCCAGCAGCAGCATACTTGACGCGCCCGTCTTGTTTATAATCGTAATTTAAAATAAAAATTGCTAACACAGTCGTTCGCATCATGACTTGTCAATAGTATGTAGATACAATAACAATTAAAATTAATTACGATTTAATAAAATTTTAAATATTTTAATAAAATTAATGTTATAGTATAATTCATTCTAATTCATTCTAGTTAGGAAAGAATATTAGCACACATAGACAATGTAATTTCGAAATATATTACAAAGAACACATATGAGTTCCAATTTCACGTATAACTCGCTTTTAAATCTATTTGATGATAAAGTCCCTAATCCGCAAATGAGTCGTGCATTGTTTCTAAAAAGTTTTATTATGTAAGAAATATAATATTTAGATTTCTATTTTCACGAGAATCAAGTATAATTAAAGGCAATAATATTATGTCGAGCAATAACTGCTCTAATATTATTGTAATAAATTTCAAATACTATTACTACGATAAAAAAATTTAAGGGTTAAAAATTTAGTATTAAGAAGTATTAAAAATTTTTCTTTATATCTCATAGAAAAATATTTGTATGTGCACTTGTTAAATATGAAATATATCAATACTATTTCTTTAATTTGCGAAAAATAGTTTATAATTATAATAAAATATTTATTAAATTATTTGCATGAATCGAATTATATGAACAAGATGGGCGCGTCAAGTATGCTGCTGCTGGAGATCTTGCTCTCATTTTCGATTTTTTATTTTTACACTTTTCTACTTGTTATCGATGTAAAAATCCCTTTTCAGTTTCCGCGCCTCTCATTACGCTATCTATTGCATTTCGTTCACTCATTAATATGTTGTTATACTTAATACACTTCAAATATCATCTGTACTTTGTGTAATATGTATATTATAATTGTGAGAAATTATTCCATACAACACTGTCTTAAAGGATATCGAAAAGACGTCTGCATCACAAGAAAGCCTTCAAGATGCCGTTCAGAGAACTGTGTTCTACGGGACTTTTCAAATAGAGATACTTGAAATATTATTTTGATTTCACTTCTTTTTTTATGGCATTATTTTTGGTATCTTTTTTCTGCAAAATATACTTGACGCCTTTTTTTTTACATTTTTAATATCTTTTCCGATAGATTATATTACTACCTCGAGTATCAAATTTTATCTTGGAAAACGTACAAGAGAAAGTACGAAAGTAATTCAATCCACAATTCCCTTCTTGAAAATCTATTTAACAATTTTATTACATCAAGAGCTATCAAAATATATAAAAAGCCACTTTTTTTTCGTGAAAGTTGGGTTCTGCGAGTTATACTTGGCAAAAACGAGACAAGCGACGGTACCAGAATTGAACTTGCTTGGCGTCGATCCTGGGGTAGCTTATAAACCTTCCTCTCTTTTCGTTAACACGAAAACTTTAATACATCTGACATAAATCGCGCGAGATCGATCACAAAGGCCTGAAATAAGTTTATATTCGGAATATCGCTAGTTCTACAGATTGTCTCGCTTTTCGACGTCCCACATAATTCGTCTACATATATACTACAAGCCTAGAGAACTTTGCAATTTCCTGTTTGGCTAGTTTCTAGATTTATTATGCTAATATACTAGGCTCGTTTTTCAGCACCAATAACAACTACACCACTGCAGCTTGTTATCGATCTGTAAAATATATTACAAGTAAAACTTCTGATATGTAGGATTTATTAATTAGTATAGCAGTTTCTTAGATATTTACTTACAATTATATATTATATTTTGACGCTAAATAAATAATTATTATTGATTATTGAAATTTTTTGCTTACAAATGATATAGCTATACATGATAAAACGTTATTACAGTAATTTTGAAGTAAATTTTCATTCCTGTATAAATAAGTTTGATAAACGCTTTCACAAGCCGAAACTGCAACCATTTCTTTCGCTTGGCAAGCATAGATTCACGTCAAACTCATCGGCATTTCGTACGGAAACAAACCTTGACGTGCTCTTTTTTCCGATTCCGTGTACGCATTCTAATCGCCTTCTATCGAGAAACGGCGCGGAAAGTTCCGGAAGCAGCAAACTCGCGCTACGTGTGCGGAAAGGCGCGGCGGCGCCATAAGAAAATATTGAATTTCCGATCAAAAGGAAATTACGCTCGAGTTAAAAGCCCCTTTATGTCACTCCCGTCTACCCGGCCTTTTCTGCCTAAAAAGAGGCAAATGAGACGAGCACTGCTCTTGCGAAAGGGGACAGAAACATCGGGAAACGTAGCGTGATGTTGAAATGATAGGATCACGTGATTAATGCTTTCTCTCATCTATTTTATTGTAAAGGGAATTAATGAGTCAATTCTAAGTAAAATCGTAAGACTTGTAACATGTTCTCGTAAAATTTGTGAGAACTTATGACTAGTATTCTAATTTTATGCGTATGTATCGTAAGACGTATGATTATTCGTAAATATCTACGATTTCTTATAAATTTTATAGCTAGTAAGAAGCTGTCTGTAAAAATATTGTATAAAGGGTATAAGGATTAAAAAATTCTTACAAGTCTTATAGGAATATGTTATGAGCCTTACGATTCTGCTTAGAATTTAGGTATTAATCGATCAAGTATATTCCGTTTAATCCTGTAGCGGAAAGCAGGAAATTGGTATATCATAAGTTACAGCGTTCCA